TCATGAAAAATGAGATAATTTAAAGCACAATTTTAATATAGCTGGCCAATTTAAATGATGAAGAAACATTAGTAATTCAATATGAGAATAAAATGCTCCCGTCTAGACACTTCATAACAGAGTTTTATTATCCTGAAGAATCTAAGTTATCAATTACATAGAGTAGAAAATAGTGATTTTAACCTCTTATGTTCCCCTACTCGGCTCTGATCCCATACTTTCAAAATCAAAACAAAAGCATGTTATTAATTAAATCAGGGGCTTGTTCAACAATTGCATATGCATACAAAAGTTGTATTATGGGAGTAAAGAGTGTTTTGGGTCTAAAAAAAAAACGATCGTTTGTGACAATAATTTTTACATTTTTAGTCTTCATGAAAATTCATGAACATTCATTACCTTGAACTATTAAGTTTTTTCTTTAAACTGAAAATTACCAATATTCATATTTGTTCATCATTTGTTCATGAACTAGGAATTATGAATGTTTTCATGAATTTTATTCATGAACTACTTTTATGAACCTGTTAAGAATCCTTTAAAAACCATTCATGAACAATTATGAACAACTCATAAAGGTTCTTAAAATCATGAATATCATTTCGCATGGGTGTCCCCTAAGGGCAATTATGAAAAGGGTGAAAGTAACAACGATAGATCTAAACATCTTTGAATAATTCAATTCTATGAAAAAAGACGGTCTCCTGGAAATTCCATATGAATCATTTCAATAAATTTGATCCTAGACATCGTCAAAAATCTTACCTTTCCTAATTGAGGGTGGTTTTGAAGAAATATTTTTAAAATATGTGACAAACCTTTTACAGTAATTATCTAACCATCCCTTCTTAGAAGAATATGTTGATTTTCAGTTGTAAAAACTTTAAACCTTTTTCTCAAGGATGCTTTGTGGTAAATTGGTTGAAATTTGCACATTAGTTTTGTGGAAGAAATTGAAAATTCTAAAAAGGTTACAGACATACAACGAATAGAAGGCGCATAGGGAAACAGTAATCCACGCACAACTTTCGATCAGAAAAACCCACTTGAGCCTTTGGCTATATAAAATTCTTAATCATTGACTTTTTTTCAATTTCACTCGGGGAAATTGCTACATGTTAAACATAGCATTTTTATTAATTTTCAAGATAAAGTAACTTTAAAGTCTGGACAAAAAGTAGATGCTAATAATTAATGTGTAGAAAATAGGCAAAGAATTCGATCATTTAAGCAAAATTGAATTTCAGGGAGAAAATGTTTTATTCTAACTAAGTTAATAATAAATAAGAAAAACTATGGCATTGAAAAATCCAAGGTGATACCGGTAAATAATAAGAAATGGTGAATGAAAAATGAGATACCGGTAACACAGTCTTAAGTCACAGATTAAGATAATGTAGGTCTTTTCTCTTTTTGAAATAATAAGTAGTGTTAGCATGAAGATTGCAGTATTCAAATGATTAGAATGTAAAAAGTAACGTATGGAGATGACAAACAATATTTAAGCTCAAAACTCCATTCAACCAACACTAATCAGAAGCAGAGCAGACCACCAAAAATTAGAGATGGGACCCGCTGCCATGGAGAATTGAGCATTCCGTGTCTACCGGTCACAACCCTCGTGTGCTCCTTATAGTGATTGGGGGGAAACGGGGAAACGGTAGACAATTCAGTGTGTAAATACCGGTAATGGACAAACAATTAGTATGAAAAACGTCGACGTCAGTCGGCACTGAAGTCACTGATAGGTTGTATTTGCTGATAAGGTCATTGTGCCGTCTAAAACATTTGAAAATTGATGACTTCAAATGACACTGTTAATGTCCTTGTTTTATCAACATGTTTCCCACCCATTCAAGATCTCTTTTTTTATCCTTCTTCTATTCGTAGAGCATGCTCTTAAGTATCGTTCAACTGAGAAACATAAACTCCTAAAAGAAGGTCATGCTAGTTAGTATTTAATGATACATATTTATAAGTAAAGTAAATTAGCGACTGAAAATTTTAAGTCTTCACGTTTATTATAAAACTTGGTTGCTAGGTTACCATTCATGTTTTTTAGAAAAATATCCAAATATGAAACAGATGTGTAAGAGTCTGTAGTATCTTTTATTTCAAGCTCACTGGGATGTATCGAGAGGATATACACAGTATGGAAGTAACTATTGTTAATTGATAATACATCGTCGATATAATTATCTAAATGTTGAGTTGAACGCCACAACAAGTATTTCTTCCTCTAGAAGTATTTGAATAAATATTCCTTCAAAAGAATATAAAAAGGCCAGCTAACAACGAGGCACAATTTTAACCCATCATACATACAATTCAAACAGATTGTGGAAGACCTGATCTCTAAAAAGTACATTATGATTGATATTTTCAATTAGAAAGTCAAGCATCTTTTTAATACTAACTTCAGGGTACTTGCGTGTACAATCAGAATGTTTCAATAAATAGTATTCTAACTGGTTCAAAAGCTAACACATTTAATACAATTTAAAAATACAAAAAAAACCAAAAAAAATAAATTAATTCTCTTAAAAAAAAAATAAGGATAAGTCAATGCACAGAGAATCATTTGAATAAATAATATACAGGGTTTAAAATCATCGCTGTTGCTTGTGAGATTCTCAAATGAATGTTCATGTTACACTATATCCAAGAATCACATATTCCATTATTTGTAGAATACCCGAGAGTAGAAATTACCCGTGGTAGAAATTTTATATTGTTCATTCTGCACAGCAGAACAGATGGGTATCTTTTTTTTTGCTTTTCTCATAATTGTTAATTATTTAAACCGTTATATCAAAATCACCGTTGTTTATATACTTTTTAAAGCCCACCGATGCTACTGACGTTATATATTTTTCTTATAAAAAATTAATCCCTTACCTATTTTGTGAATTATATTTCTGAGAAAAGAAAAAAAATACCGTGCTTATTTTACTCCTTTTATTAATCGCAAAAGACATACATGTACTATCTGATACTGATATTTGGAATACATACTCAGTATATAGAAATTAAAACGTCTGATAAAAAAGAGGTCCTTATGCCACAACCAAAATCACTTTTGTCCTGCTGTTCTTCTTCATAATTTTCATAAGATTTTATTTCCCTCTTTATTACTATGAAATATTTTGGCTTTTTGCTTTCATTCGATCCAACATTATCTGAAAACGGGGTTTTATATAAGGATGCTTCATTATGAATATGACTTTCATGTCCTTGCTTTTCTGGAGAAAAAGACATTACAGACTTTTTTTCTGTATGTACATGTACATTTACTACATTTAACATGGACTGTAGGATTGAATTAGAACAAGGATTCAAATGTTCATATGTATCAATTTATCAAGAAGATAATGGATTCTTACATATGAGAATTTTTCTATGTATTTTTATGAATTTGTCTATATGATTTATTCTGGCAATGATATTCTAATAATTTTTCAATTTTCTTGTTAATATCCCAAATACTTTTAACAGAATATCTGATTCTGTTGTATGACACAAATCTATATCAAGGGATTTGAATTGAATAAACCTGAAAATACAAAACACCCTATACCTTAGGATGCTTGTATATATGAATATGACTAATTATTTTTCAACTGTACTTGGTACAAAACTTTTGAATAACTCTCTTTATTCCAATTGGAAATCAATTATTCCCTATATACCCCTTCTACTCCCAAAGATTAAAATACACTGCAATCTAAACTATCAGAGACTGTCGTCTTATTTTTATATGATTACGCAGGGCCCCTCCGTCCTCGAAATAAATATTTTATAAAGATTTTTTTTAAAGATATCGCTCCTAGCGGCCATAATTTTTTTTTTATCAAAATTTGATTTTCCACTATTTGAGGATCTTGTCGTTCTTAAAAAAGAATACTGATTCCAGTTTTTCTGATGTCAAACTTTGATCTCCTAAAGTGGCCCATCCTACCTCAGTTGCCAAGAATTGAACACATAAATTTAAACCTAGTTGTACACTCAGTACTTGAGGATACTTGAATAACATGACACTACTAAATGTGTCTTTCAGAGAATTTCAAAAAAATCCCCCTATCTATCACATCAAAAGAATTGATCTCCAAATGTGTTCCCACTCTCAGATTATATGATTTGAATAAATATTCATCTGTATTTTATCTTCAAGAAGCTTTATTTCAATTATACCGTCCTTACTCAATCGTCCTTGAGAAAAATTATATTAACACGTCAATCTTTTGAAAACTTTTAATATCTGAATTTCCATCATTCCTTTTTACACAAGCGTGGTATTTTATTTGAACCGACATGAATCTATTTTCCCAAGAATAATTATTGGAGGGGTTGATTGAAAGTGGTCAAATGGTTATAGAGAAAAAATTTGATAAACGATCAGAAAAGTTCAACTGAATTAAGGATTTTCATTAGAATATGTCCGTAGAAAATTCAACATATTCTGGATAGTGCTAACTATTTTTTTTTTCGGTGAAGAAATTAAAATCAAAATCAGTCAAAAATATAATGAGAAAGAACTTGTGTCGATCAATTTCTTGCAGATGATACATAGGACACAGAAAAGAATAAAACTCTCAGCATTGCAACTTATCCTTTGACGCTATAGTGTTTGTCCTTCAACATTACTTATACATGTAGCAATTTCGTTAATTGGAAAATAATTAATCTTTAATGTTACGTGCTGAATTTAAACAATAATTAATAATAATAAAAAAAAACACCAATTGAAAAAGTCAGTGATCATGATTCCTTTGACATTTTTCATGTCAAAACCTTAGTTTTGAGCAATAGCAAAATTTAAACGAATATTGATAAAAGTGAGATGCGAAGAGTCGATAAGTTTACCTTTTCCCACCCGTAACAGCAATAAAACTACCACATTCAATATTCACATTATACGTTGTGCATCATATCATAAATCTATCTCATCATCCATCCACGAAATAAACATCCGGGGAATTAACACGATGCTAACAACCGGATGCCTATAAAATGATACAAAACAGTGAGCGCATGCATGTTTCATGAATGTTGATTACGGTTCTCGGAAGCGAAACATCGGCTTCCCATGACTCTCCGCCTAATAAAGTCCACAAAGAGGAACTTTTATTCGTATTCAGCAAGAGTTAAAACATTTCCCATCGGAGACCTTGTGTCGATATCACACACCGAGAGAATTGGCTTTTTTAAGACTACCAGACACGTTGAGAGAGCATTGGACTTGGGACCCTCGTCGTTCGTAGACTGAGATCTTTCAAAATCTCTGTGTTGATCTGATTTACTGCACTCAAAATGTATTGAAGTATATTAAGTTATATTGATTGTGCATTCAGAGGCTGGTTTGTTCACTTTGCATCACAGGACAAACAACACTTCAAATATCAGGATGGAACTTAGCAAGTAATAAGTAAGTTGCTCCAAAAGATAAAACAGATGAACTTTTCCTTAAAAAAATTATCTTTAATCTGCTGTATTTTTTATATAGATAATTCGGGGTCAAATTTTTTTTAAATATCAAGAAGGTCTAAATGAAAGCAACCTTGTTATTACCTGTATATATTATGTATCTATAAAGATACGTAATTATGTTAAAAGACACCAATGCTGTGTTCCTCTTGTTCTTTTTTTTATTATTATTATTTTAAATTTGTTTCTTTCACTCTCTCTGTGATCACCTTTTGAAGTGCAATTGCAATGTGATCGTTAATTAAGCATTATCATTTATAGAATAAAAAAAATCAATATAATCACATTTTTAAAGCAATATTTTGCTTAGTTTAGTAAATCTTTATTCCTTAACATCGCAATGATGAGTAAGCGTTTTTTATTTGAAAAAGAAAACTTTTGATCATTTCTTCTGAAGAAAAGGGGAAATTGCGCTTCCTTTTAAAAGCATCTTTTGTGTCAGAAAATACATAAAGCATTGCTTTTAATTAAATGATGAGCCATCAAAAGCCGATTCTTCTTTACCACACTAAGGCTAATCTTGGTAATACCAATTACCTCACGCTTAATATCTGAGAGTATGTCTTCAAAAATTTTATTTAACATCATGTCTCTCAGCATTATCTATAATCACTAAATGACTAACTTAATATTTTACTTCCGGTAGAGTCTCTGACTAAGGAGCTATCTAAGCCATAAATATAACCCTTTGTCATGGTAATATGTAAATACATCAGAAAGATCATGAAAAAATGTGTATTGCTTAGACTACTTGCATGAACATATCTATGCTGTAATAAATAGTCTATGAACTTGATGCTGGGCGTTGTTGATTAAATACCATGTAAGGTTGCTTTCTGTGTCACTTCTGTCGTTTGTTGAAAATTAAATTTCTTACTAGAATCCTTATTTATTTTTTCTTGACTGCATGTATACTAGTATTATCTGTATTTGCATTGAATTCATTTCACCTGGAAGTTAATGCATAATAAATGATCCGAAAAAATAGGTTTGAGTGGTTGCAAGTTGTCGATTTGAATATGTCCCACACACCCACTTTAAAATAGAATAAATGAATTATTGATAATGTTTTCTTTAATTCCACATTTAACTTTCTAAGGCTTTACATGTAAAAATTGATATGAGGTTATAATTTGTACCACAGATAAAGCTTAGTACATAATTGGAAGTCGTAAATGCAATAATTATTGATTCGACAAGAATTTTTTTTGAAAATAAAACATGAATCGTTTTATTTCACACTCTACGTACCATTGTCAAGCTGAAAAATTACCTACTATATTTGGTAATTTAAGCTTAAGAGGAAATGTTTGTTTCATGTAAATCAATAAAAAAAAATTACTCATCATTAAAACAAAAATTGCTTTACAGAAACACTTGTTAAAGCTTAAATTCAATTCAATGTGTAGATGTAATACCAAGTAAATACCTGAAAAATACCTTTTAAAAATATTTGAAAAGTGAAGCCTTTGTATTTTATCAACAATATATTTGGTATAGGGTGAGTTCACCATGCATCGGACACATACAACTTTAGGCAATAAACTCTCTTTCAACTTATGAGTTCTGTGTATTTATTTGTTTCTGTCATAAAGACCAAGATTTAAATTTTTTAATGATACCGATTGTGTTTATCATGTTGTGATAAAAATACCCCGCAAATGGCCTTGAAGTTGCGTCATATTTTACATCATCAAAGGGGAATAACCCGAAATTTATGATTTTGCAATTTTTAGAGTTATCGTTCTTTTAAATTCGACTTCCACGGAACGAGTCGGACTTTGGTGAATTTTGTCAGGGATTGGTAATTTTACATAAATTATAATTAAATTTCACTTCAATGTCTGTTTAATTCTTATTAGAGCTGGTTTTTACTAGTATGCTATTTTCACCGTACATCGGACACAAATAAACCATGCATCGGACACTTTTCGATGCAAAGGTAAGTACTACCATTTTCATACAGAACCCAGCTGACAGCTGTTTTTTGCGGGAAAAGAAAATAAAAACTCTATATTTTCAGTCAAAATACAAGTTATCGATAAATGACGTCTGGAATTTTACTATTTATTTCTACAAACCAGAGTATGATAAACCATGATTACGGCATTATAAGCATTTTAAAGCATTTCTTAGACAGAGTGAGGTCTCGAGAATCGTTCTACATTTGTGCAATAATATCGTCGATTAAATTACAGTTGAGGGTTATTTCTTAGATAAAAGATGAAAATATATCCATATCAAGGATTTTAAAGCATTGTGATAAAGGTATGATATTTTTCCGGTCTCCATACCGTCTGTCCGATGCATGGTGAACAATGTCCGATCCATGGTGAATTTTCTGTTTTTTCTAAAAACTCGATTTTTTGGGATAATTTCTCAGTAAACGGCATATAATTGTGTCCTAAATTGTTATTTTAATCACAAACTAAATGTTAAACTCCATTTTAATAATTTTCCGTCGGTAGCGATATCGCTAGAACTTGTTGAAGTACAAGGGTATCCGATGCATGGTGAATTCACCCTATATGTTTAATTTCTCTGACTTTGGATGCCGCATACGACGTCACGGGAACACGTGGCTTTTAGATGTTTTTGATTCTGGCTAAAAATTATTTATGATTAACAAGAAGTACAACGTTTTTTTTCAATCAGATTTTGGGGATTTAAATGGAAGTCTTTTTCGTTCTATACCAATTATGAATCGTTGATAATTAGTTTACACTAGAATTTTATTTCCAGCTACAAATGTAATACTAGTATCTAATACGGCAAGATACGAGTAAATGGTCGAAAACCTTCGATTTTTCAAAACACTTAAGAGAAAATCAAAGAAGTACATCACAGTCTATAACAACAACATGTATAAAGTCTTTCACATTTATTAAAACGGTTGAATGCAAGGTTTCGTTGACATACAAAATATGAATTATATTTGTCAGCTGTTTTGCCAATTTACGCCCGGTTCGATATGACTATTTTCGGGGCATTTCATTGAAGTAAAAGAAAAAAGAAACCTTACGTTAAGATTAACTATTGTTTTATGAAAGTTTGAATAATGAGGCAATCGTCACCAAAAGCGTCAAATAGTATTTTATAATCACCGAAATTAACAATTGTAGAATACTCACTGACATGATACTTTAGAAAAATTATTTGTCTAGGACAAATTTGGTGAAATAAAAAAGAACTCGTATGTAAAACGATAATGAGCTCTTAGATTTTTTGCGCCCTATCACTTAAACCAGAAGTAACTGACCATATCACGCTGACGTAATGCTATACCACGTGATTCACTTGATATGATAATGTAAAAGAATCTCGGAATATAACGATATATTCACAGAAAGGCCTAGAAAAGGCGAGTATTGTTTATTATCAAATGATCAGGAATGTTGACGCCCTCTGATTCGCCTTTACACTCTTTCCTGAGGTCTACCTCAGAATGTGTTTACCTCAAATTAAAACCCGGGAGGGTTATTGGGGACAAGAATTAAAACGTCAAAAATGTTGTAAAATTCCTGATTATATTATAAAACGTTTATTGACTTTTGAATTCGGTAAGGATTTGGTTAACCTCGACCTTCGTCAACAAATATCTGGCCAGGTCCAAGTAGACCTCATCAAATTTTATTCATTGTATGATGTCATCAAAAATAGTCTCCCGAAGGCGCGAATTATTTTCATGGCAGGGAACTTGATCCAATATATTGGCTGCTTAAGTATATAAATTTATTTACATGTGTATATTAAAATAGCTACATTTTGGAAGTACTAGCGCAACCATTTTGTATCATACTTTGCGATTTTTTGCTTTGTTTGGTTATCATTTTATTTTGTTTTATACAGTTAAGTACAGATATTGATAATGGTGAAGGAAAAACTTCAAGAGTATTGTGCAACAATATATTCAAGAAGTGGTGTGAATCAGATGTGGATTCTCAAAAATTCCAAAGAACTTAAGGACAATTTGAAATCACAAGATTTAACCAAAATCAACAGCTTAAAATCTTACGATTTTGATACTTTATACACAACCATTCCCCACGATAAATTAAACTCCAGTTTTTTTTTTATATCATTGACAGCTGCTTTTTTAATTAATATAGAACTCGTAAATTTCCTTAAGTGGTCATTGGTCATTTGCAAACTTATTCTGACTGCATACACAAGTACTCTGAAGTTGACATCAAAAAGATGCTTGAGTTTCTGACTGACGATGTCTATGTGGTTTTTGGAGACCATGTCTTCCAACAATTCCCATGGGTACTAATTGCGCTCCGTTATAAGCAGACCTTTTTGTATTAATATGAAGCAGAATTTATGCAAAATCTTATGCGTGAAAAGAAGAAAACACTTGCTGTGGCCTTCAACTCGACATTTAGATATATCGATGACGTATTGTCAATTTACAATCTTATGGTAATTTCCATTCCATTGTCGATACGACATATCCTAGTGAGCTTGAGACAAAAGATTTGGTACCACAGAGTCTGACACATCTGTTTCATGTCTGGATATATTACTTGAAAAAGACGTTAATGGTAATCTAACAACCAAGCTCTATGATAAAAGTGATGACTTTAACTTTTCTATCGTCAGCTTCCCTTACTTAGAAATTTACAGCCATATACAGCAATATATCTTCATCACCTGCATACGGAGTTAATATCTCTCAGTTGATTCGATACGCAAGAGCGTATGAACAATCTCTAATACGAGCTAAAATACTGACAAACAAGTTGATGAAACAAGAGTATCGGCAGTCTCGTTTAAAGTCATCAAAGATCGAGTTTTATGGTCGATACAATGACCTTGTCAGCAAATACAATTCATCATTGCTTCAAATGCTGATTGGAATTTTTCATACTTATTGTTAGTCTATTATTTATACACTGAATTGAAGACGGATTTTAACCGTTATTTCCCGATAATGACAAG